GACGGCCTTGCTGGAGACGCAGCGGTCCAGGGGGCGGACGCGGCCTCCTCAAGGCGCTCACTCGCTGGCGGGGGATAGACAGGCAGCGGCTCGGTAGGAGGCGGGCTAGGTGACTTCGGCGCGAGGACACGAGCAGAGGACGGGAGGCGGGGACAAGGCCTGGCCACCCACCTGCTGGGGGCGCCGCCACTTGGTTCGGCAGGACGGGTCTCCGCCTGCCTCTGCCCACGGGGTCAGGGCGAGGCGAGCACGCCGGGGTGGCACCTGGACCGTGGATGCTGGCCAGCCCTGTGGCATCCCTGGGTGCCTGGAGCAGCCAGGTGCCCGCTCTCAGATTAGAGAGGACATTGCACATCGGACAGAACCAAACATCGCCTCCCTTGAGCCCAGTTCTTCCTCTTCTCCCTTTTCTCCTCCTCCTCCTCTTCCTTAAGTCAGGACCCGGCCTCCCTGGCCATGGCCATGGAAGGGTCAGGGGGCTGACGCTCACTTAAGAAAGATTCCAATCAGAATTGGCAGCAACAGCAAGCAGCCAGCTTGTTTTATCTCCGTCGACCGGGTGCATGAGAAACGGAAAAAAAAGACACTAACCGCAGGAAGCCATCTGCGAGGCTCATCAAGGAACCTCCCAGCGCCTCTGATCAAAGCCCTGGTCTGGAAGCATAATCTGTGCCTTTCAAGTTCTGTCGTCTGAGTAAAGGGGCCTTCAGTGGCTGCATTGAAAGATACAGATCGGAGCGAGTGCAGCGGAAGGAACCCGCCACAGATCCCGGTGAAGGGCCTTCCAGCCGAGACCAAATATTCGCCCCACCTTGCATTTTGATCAGGAATCCAATCTCTAAGGCGATTTCCTCATGTCTGCAATGAGGTTATTCCTGTTCACTGCCTCCTTTCTTTCTTCTGGGTTAACTCAGGTAAAACAAAGCAAAATAAATAAATAACACCCTCAGAGTTGTTGTAACAGACTTCCAGGATGAGAGGAATCATTACTGATGAGATTTCAGAAATTCCAAGGCCTCGCGTGCTGACTCCAAACCCGCGGCTACATGAACAGTAAACAGCACACGCAGATCTCTAAACAAACGCTGAAGGGAAGACGACTCTCTCCCCTCGTACGCAACAGAAGACCCCAGTGTTCAGTGAACTGCTCTAACGTGCAAAAGAAGAGGAGTGTTGGAGCTAGAGCCCCTGAGCTGACGCTGTGAAGGTTTCCTGCGCGGGCTGTGATGGATGCTGGGGAGACAGGAAGTGATCTCATAGGATCCTCAAGACCCATGAGAGCCATGATAAAGGATCCGCTTTTCAGTCCAAAGAATAGAATTTCTAGCTAACACTCCGTGCAGATTCCCGCAGCCAAGGATGACTCCAGTTTCTTCCTGTTTGAGTGTCGCTTCTAAGCGCCATGGAGACTAGCCATCAGTTTCACGGTAACCATTCGGAGCCAGAGGATGCATAAGGGCTGCTTCCTGGACACATGTTGGCCTCTTAGCAATCTGAGGACCATGGTGCCTGAAGGAAACCACCCATTAGGACCTGCTGCTGCTTCAAACATTTTCTATTTAATCCTTGTCCTTGTCAACCTCTCACAAGAGAGGCGTAACAACTCTGCCTCTAACTTTCAGCACATTTCAAACAAGTGCTTTACTTCTGAAACTGAGGGGTCTGGCTTTCTAGGTAAGAAGTAAGATTTAAAAAAAAAATCGTTTGCCTTCTGACTAGTACAAGAGTGAAATAGGAATAAGCTTTATTTCTCTAGAGTCAATAATGTCTTATAGCATAAAGAATATGAAAGGTTACATCTTAGAGAAGCTGAAGCAAGCCACCTTTCCTAACTATTCAAGAAGGTACGCATAAACAAATATGATCTGCAAATGAATACATTTCTTCTTTTCTTTGGCCTCCTTTAGGGAGATTTAAAAAAGCCAAGGAAAATAAATTAGTGTAATGAAATGGGAACTTGTCCCCATGTTTTATTTTGATGTACTTTTTCAAAGGCCCAGTGTGCGTGAGGTTCAGTGTCACACCGTACCCAGCGGCAAAGTCGTCCTAGCAGACGGAGGAGGGCCAGCTGCCTGGCTGCCCTGGTTTGTCCCCGGGGCCCCCTCCCTCCTTGTGTGACCCCAGACTCCAATCAGGTGTCTTGGAGGACCTAAAGGCTGGTCAGGTGTTGTGGTTCCTGCCAGTCCCTCTCTCAGTGGAAGAATCTTCCCAGATCACTCAACAACTCAACGTTCTTTCTCAACATTAATAAAAGTACATAATCCTTATCTGTGTTTGTTAAAGAGCAAAATGCAACAGGAAAATCTCTGTGTTCTGTATTCACTTCTGTTCAGTTGTTACTCAGTTGCTCAGTTGTGTCTGACTCTTTGCAACCCCATGGACTGCAGCACGCCAGGCCTCCCTGTCCATCACCAACTCCCGGAGTTTACTCAAACTCATGTCCCTTGAGTCGGTGATGCCATCCACCCATCTCGTCCTCTGTCGCCCCCCTTCCCCAGACACTGGCTTGAAGTTCTGAGAGTGAGTCAGCTGAAATGACTTCACTACCTCCAGCTTGTGGAATGATTCCGCACGCGAGCCCCACGTCTGATGCCACTGACTCCTGCGTGGCTCGCTGACTTCACTCTCTGTTAGCAATTCCTCCTTCCTCCTCCTTTTTTTATCCTGTCTTTTGGCACGGATGTGCATCTGTGCCTACTACAGGCTGTGTGCGCGTCCTCCTTCAGACCGCTATTTAAAGTTCAACTCCGTTATTAGTTAAAAAAGGGAAAGAACAGGAGAAAGGATAATGAAGAAAGAGCCTGGGTGGCACTGACAATTAAATCGTTACTCATCCATGCTAAAATGCTAGGTTCTTGGTTCTTCATCATGGACGGGTGAGGATGCTGGTGTCAACCCAGGGCTCAACACCTGCCTTCCCACCCTGTCTTCCCCTTTCAGACATACCAGCAAGTCTGCACCTTCTCTTCATGTCATTTCTGCGCTAAAGCAGAGGCCTTTTATGGCCTCATCAACTGTCAAACATTTTCCCTTGGAGACACTTTATCTCCCCATCGTTTTTAAAAGATGAGACTTACCTCTGCTTTCCCGTAATTGTTAATGTTTTGCCGAAACTACTGGCTACCAAACTCTTTGCCTCCTGTGCAGGTTCAGATGTTTTATAGCTAGAAACTTGCAGGCATTCCTGGTGTCATGGACCCTGATTCCTGTGACTGCTCAGTTCTGTTGCTCAGTTCTTTTACATTTCACATTCCTCTTCCTAGCACCAGTCATGGCGGCCTTCTGAGTTGCTTCAGGGATTAAACAAAATCCAGACTGCGCCCTTGGGTTTCTGAAGAGCAGGTCCCTGCTCCTTCCTCCTCTGGAAGCACGGCTATCATGTCAGCGAACCCTGGGCTCTGTCAACCACCCCGTCTTGGTTCCTCTGACTTCTCCCTTTAGACGCTCCAGAAGGCTCTGCTGCCTACGTTGGGGGCTGAGATGTAGGAACACTCGATCCTGAACTCTTCCCTGAGTCATAAACAGAGGCTCCGGGCTTCCTGTGTCCTGTGTTTGCTGATGAAACTGGTGAATCAGGGCTGCTGTGTGTTCGGGGACTACGCTTGGCACCTCTCTTAGACAAACACATCACGGCACTTTGGTTTTGCTGGTGAGTCTCGGGCAGCGGCAACCCACTCCAATATTCCTGCCTGGAGAATCCCATGGACAGAGGAGCCTGATGGGCTGCAGCCCATGGGGTTGGACACAACTGAAGCGACGGAGTGCGCGTGCGCGCACACACACGCACGCACGCACGCACGCATGGGCGGCTCCCGCGATGACCCAGCTCACCTACTGGCAGCCCTGACCTGCTCTGGTAGGAGCCTGGGGCTCACCCACCTGCCACCCGGGGAACCGGCAGTGCTGCAGGGCCAGCCGGCACCTCTCCTCCGCGGGCAGTGTCCTCTCGTTGCTGGGCAGGGTCTCGGCCAAAGGCTTGTACCTGCAGGAAGCAGCGGGGACAGGAGAGCCATGAGTGCACGGGTCATGCAAACGACTTTTTTCAGCAGCGTTGCCTTTGTTACCCAGTTTTAAAAATCTTCCCCCTTTCTTACTTTGTCCTCTGTACCCTGACCCCTCCGTGCGTCATGAATTTCACCCTGGATCACTTGGAACAGCCCTTGTCCTTTACAAGGATGTGATTTTAAAAGGAACCAAAGCTACTCCTCAGTCCTCTAATATACCTTTAATATTACCAGGAGAGGTGCAAACCATTTATCAAAAGGGCATTCGGAGACAAAGAATATGGAATTTATTAGTTCTCATGTAGATTTTTCGAATACTCTTAAAATACACCATTTAGGATATTCCAGCATTCTTTATCACTGTTTGAGAGTGCATCTAGATGTAGTTAGAATCTATAATAAAGGAAGACCAAAATGCCCAGAAGTCTTATGTAAGTGAGAGGTAGAGAAGTGCTCTCCCCATAGAGTAGAGACTGAGTGCTTTAAATCTTCTAGAAGGACCCTTTATTTTTGGAAAGTTCTTCCAAATAATTAAATTTCACTCTCTGGCTGAAATTCATGACTATATAAAGTTTTCCTCTGGGTTTCTAAAAAAAATGTCTTTTAAGATTATATGACCCATTTAAAAAAAAAAGGATGCAAAATTTTCCTTTGCACTTGTAGCATTTAACCTGACATGAAGCAACACGGCTTCCGGAGAAGGAGGAGGGGAGGGGAGGGAGGAAGAAGAGGGGAGGATGAGAACCGGAGGAAAGCGAGAAACGACGGGGCCGTATCTGGTGTGCTCATAATCCTCACATTGGGCCACCCCGGGAACTTACTGCCGATCGTTAAATCACCGAACAGCCCATGGGGTTGGACACAACTGAAGCGACGGAGTGCGCGTGCGCGCACACACACGCACGCACGCACGCACGCATGGGCGGCTCCCGCGATGACCCAGCTCACCTACTGGCAGCCCTGACCTGCTCTGGTAGGAGCCTGGGGCTCACCCACCTGCCACCCGGGGAACCGGCAGTGCTGCAGGGCCAGCCGGCACCTCTCCTCCGCGGGCAGTGTCCTCTCGTTGCTGGGCAGGGTCTCGGCCAAAGGCTTGTACCTGCAGGAAGCAGCGGGGACAGGAGAGCCATGAGTGCATGGGTCATGCAAACGATTTTTTTCAGCAGCGTTGCCTTTGTTACCCAGTTTTAAAAATCTTCCCCCTTTCTTACTTTGTCCTCTGTACCCTGACCCCTCCGTGCGTCATGAATTTCACCCTGGATCACTTGGAACAGCCCTTGTCCTTTACAAGGATGTGATTTTAAAAGGAACCAAAGCTACTCCTCAGTCCTCTAATATACCTTTAATATTACCAGGAGAGGTGCAAACCATTTATCAAAAGGGCATTCGGAGACAAAGAATATGGAATTTATTAGTTCTCATGTAGATTTTTCGAATACTCTTAAAATACACCATTTAGGATATTCCAGCATTCTTTATCACTGTTTGAGAGTGCATCTAGATGTAGTTAGAATCTATAATAAAGGAAGACCAAAATGCCCAGAAGTCTTATGTAAGTGAGAGGTAGAGAAGTGCTCTCCCCATAGAGTAGAGACTGAGTGCTTTAAATCTTCTAGAAGGACCCTTTATTTTTGGAAAGTTCTTCCAAATAATTAAATTTCACTCTCTGGCTGAAATTCATGACTATATAAAGTTTTCCTCTGGGTTTCTAAAAAAAATGTCTTTTAAGATTATATGACCCATTTAAAAAAAAAAGGATGCAAAATTTTCCTTTGCACTTGTAGCATTTAACCTGACATGAAGCAACACGGCTTCCGGAGAAGGAGGAGGGGAGGGGAGGGAGGAAGAAGAGGGGAGGATGAGAACCGGAGGAAAGCGAGAAACGACGGGGCCGTATCTGGTGTGCTCATAATCCTCACATTGGGCCACCCCGGGAACTTACTGCCGATCGTTAAATCACCGAAGTCCTCTGTTTCTTTCTGTGGAACATCTTAGCTTTTCATCTAAAGTTTGTTGCAGCAAATCTGGCATCTTCTACAAGAGATGTTCTGCTTCCCAAGGGAAGCAGTGAATCCCCTGCACTCCTGGCTGCCCGCCACCCCCCTCCACCTTCCCCACCCGAGCACTGACAGGGTGGACGAGTCCCGCCAGCGGTCACGTGGGCATGTTCGGTCACCCAATCATGTCTGATGCTTCGCGACCCCAGGAACTGCAGCCCGCTAGGCTCCTCTGCCCATGCGATTCTCCAGGCAAGGATACTGGAGCAGGTTGTATGCTCTCCTCCAGGGGGTCTGCCTGCCCCAGGGGTTGAACCCATGTCTCTCATGTCTCCTGCATTGGCAGGCGGGTTCTTTACCCCCAGAGCCACCTGGGAAGCCCCACTGGCAGCCGCACCACATCTTTATTTCTGCAAGTCTAGAAGAGAAACTAGGTGTCCATCGTGTGGGGTCGGGGGTTGGGGGCAGTGCAGAGGAACTATGGATCTGGGGCACAGCATAAACCCTGAGAAAATACACCTGTGTGACCTTTGCAACAGCAGACTTTCATTTCCTCTCTAAAATCCTTCTAGCGCTGTCCCCCACAACTCACATTTTATCTGCCCTGGATTGAGCATCGTCATCGTCCTGCTAGCCATGAGTCAGGCAAAATAAATACGGCAGCATCAGCAACCTCCCTTCCCTCTCAAACCTAGATTTTCACTCATGTATTAACTCCGGGTACAGAAGGAGTAAAAATAGCAGCAGAGACTGAGCATGCATTTGGAGCCCCAGAGGCGAGGCTCTGAAAGCTCTCGCTCATCGTTGTGATCACATCAAATGGTCTAAGACGATCTGTGGATGATATTCAATGATCATTTTTCCTTTATTTTTTTTGATAAGAGGCAAGAATATGCTTTCTTACCCAGTAGGCACTGGAGTTGGTTATCTGCTGGGTTTTTTTTTGTCTTAAACTGGTCTTATTGTGGTTGCTGCAGAACAGAAGAGGTCTTTCCAGGGTGGGACAGGGATAACGGGGTTGTGTGTGGGGGCTTGGGAGCCAGGAGGAAACTGCAGGGGGCGGTGGAGGGGACCACCTGAAGGCAATGGGCATTCCCCAGAGATGCTGGCACATGACCTGAGGGCATCAGCGGGCACAAAGGGACTGTGCGTTACCGTGTTCGAGGGGTTCAAAGCTGATGACTAACATAATTGTATAATGTGTCTGAACAGGAAAGAAACTGGACTGGGGACCTAAACCCAGACTCAGGTTTCAGCTTTGCAGCAAATTTGCTGTGAGGTCCTTGGCAAGACACGGAGCAGGAATTCTCCCCTGTCTCGGTACTGTACCTGCGTGCTTCTCAGGATGTGACACAAATTCTATGTTGTGCCATAAAGGTGAATTTAATTTTTATCTGTCCTTGAAGTGTGTGATCTTCCCCAGGGCACTGGGTCATCTCTGCACATCGCACGGTGTCTACAGAATTGCCTATGTGTGGAGAAAGTAACTAGTGGGTTGGCCAGAAAGTTCTTTGAGGTCTTCCCATGAGGTCATATGGAAAAACCCAAAGGAACTTTGTGAGCAACCTGATCAAGGACGGGAGGCTAAGAAACTGGGTTGGAGGAGTGGAGGACGGGGCCGAATGTTTCTCGAGCACTGAACAAGTGCCAGGAATTTTCACCTGCTGCTTCCCATGCTCCTTGAAGGTGCAGCGCGTCTGGATGGCTACCCTCTTTCGACAGGGAGAAGCTGATGGTCACGGAAATGAAGTCCCTTGCCCAAGCTCACATGGATGATGTTGAATTGTGTTCCTGCCCCGGATGGAATAGATACATGCGCTTCCCTGCTGGCTCAGTGGGTAAAGAGTCCACCTGCAATGCAGGAGATGCAGGAGATGCAGGAGACACAGGTTCAGTTCCTGGGTCCGGAAGATTCCCCTGATGACAACCCATTCCAGCGTTCTTGCCTGGGAAATCCCATGGACAGAGGAACCTGGTGGGCTGGGCGCAAAGAGTCAGAGACCACGGATGACTGAGCACATGGATGTGAGCTGACTTGGAGATGGGCTTGAAGGATGCGATGCAGTTAAGATGACGCCAGCAGGGAGGGCCCGAATCCCACAGGACTGGTGTCCTGGGAAGAGGCAGAAATGCTGTGTGAAGGCAGAGCCACAGGGCGGACAGCACTTGGCGAGGGAGGCGGGAGTGGGGTGATGCAGCTGAAAGGACTGGGGGCCACCCCCACAGCTAGAGAGGGGCAAGGAAGGGTCTCAGAGGGCCAGGGCCCGGCTGGCATCGCTGGCAGGGAGTCCGCTTCTGTGGTTCAGAGGCCCCCCAGAGACCTGACGCAGTGTGAAAGCGGCTGGGCCGGGACTGCACTGGGGCGGCCTGACTCCGGAGGCGCTGTCTCCACCAGTGCCGGCCGTGGAGGCGCAGGGGAAGCCTCCCCGGCCCCAGACGGTTCCAGAGTAAAAGGGACAAGGCTGCTTACAAACGTCTGAAACGGCAAACCCACGGCGGCCACCAGCGGACAGGACTCTCAGAGACGGGACTCCTTGGTTCTCTGACCTCTGGGTGACTGAGCCTTCCTCTGACATTAAACTAAGCTCATAATGAAATACAGACTCATTCAAACACTCAGGAAAATCAGCTCATTTCCACCACTTAGCTGGTTACACAATGAAATGAAATCACTCACATTATCTCTTTATTCTTTTATAATTGTCTCATTCTGGAACTCTGCTAATTATCATGGAGAATGGAATTGACATAATTCAAGTATCTGAATACAGTATTAACAAGTCAGAACAAAAGTCTTAACACACGGTGCCTTTCTCTTCTCGTTTTATATAGTTCTTTTGACACTTAAAGTGGTATAATTCTGACATTTCAACTGAAAAGACAAAAGCGTCATCTTAGACAGGGTGAGGTAGTCTATTTTAATGTAACTGAAAACATCTTGTCTCTGGAATCTGAGTGTCACCTCTAGATGGAGTCGCCGGCCCACCCCTGCACTGAAGCTTGGCCTCCCGGAGACCCCCACCCCAGACCGACTGGTAAGGACACTGGAGAGCCGCACGTGGTCCTGAGCACGGGGTGGGGGTCTGCAGAAGGGGCTTCTCCTCTCTGTTCCCACACACCCCTGGCCTCTGTGGTCCAGGAGGTGGTCACCTCCAGCCACCCAGGCTGACACCTGCCTTGGGCCCCAGAGAGACCAGCCAACAGAAGAAGTCAGTGTTCACTCTTCCAGCTGACCCCCTCCTGTCTCAGCCCCATCTGGGATGAGAGACGTGACTGGTATCTGGTTCCATGTCCAGAATCGCGTCCTCTGTTTCATTCATTCGGGCTCATTCAGTCAACCAACCAAAAGTGACTCAGCACCAAACAGACTCCGGGAAACAAAACAGGCAAGTGTGTTAGTGGCTCAGCCGTGTGCGACTCTTTGCCACCCCATTGACTGTAGCCCGCCAGGCTCTCTGTCCATAGATTTCCCTAGGCAAGAGTACTGGCGGAGTGGTTGCTTCTCCAGGGGATCTTCCCGACCCAGGGATCGAACCCAGGTCTCCTGCACTGCAGGTGGACTCTGCCATCTGAGAGCACACAACAGATTCCAGGAACACAGCTGGAAACAAACTGGACCAAAGCCCTTCTCTTCCACGATGGAGACAGAGAACAGAAATGTAGAGGAGGAAGGAGGTCAGACCCAAGAGAGATGGAGAAAAATGAAGCAGGGTTTCAGGGTGAGCAGATTCCGGCTCACCAGGAAGGGGCAGGCCCTCTCTGGGGAACAGGGTCCACACTGGGGGTGTGCGGTCCGGCCACCTGGGGCGGGCCGTGGGCGCATGCTCAGAGAACCGAGGGGGGCGGGGTGGCTGGAGCAGGTGGGAGGGTCGATGGAGGGGATGGACCCACAGAGGTAACCGCACGGGGGGACGAGGACCCCCACGGGTGACTAGGAGGGCTTCATCTGGAACTCAGAGAGTCCTAGGGAGCAAGGCTTTGGGCGGATAAGCCACATCAGTGGACACCTGAAGAATCGTCGAAGCTGCAAGGCAGAGAGCAGGCAGAGGAAATGAGCAGAGGGCTGGGGAGAGCCTCCCAGGATGTCGCTCTTCCAAATGGT